GTGGACTTCAACTCCCAGGATTCCCCAGCCAGCAAGGCTGGCTGGGGAATCCTGGGAGTTGAAGTCCACTCATCTTAAAGTGGCCAAGGTTGAGAAACATTGCTTTAGAGGCTGGAGATTGGCAGGAAATTTCCAATACAAGAAAGCAAAATTCTACCCAGTGGTAGAATTGGGGAAAGCTGGTGTGCACACACACACACTGCACCACAAAATATTGCAGGGAGGGGCAACAGGAAATATGCAGTTTGGAAGAAACTGCCGGTCGCTTCCCTCCAACGGTCCACAGCCCTGGAAGGAAAATCATATATATATATATAATATAATATATTATAATATATTATATTATATATATATATATAATATAATATATTATAATATATTATATTATATATATATATATAATATAATATATTATAATATATTATATTATATATATATATATAATAAATATATATATAAAAAAATAAATGATATATTACTCTTCAGCCCCCAGGAGGGAAATTTCTGCAAAGGTATGCTGAAGGTTGGAAGGGATCCCGAAGATCATCTAGTCCAACCCTCGACCAAGGTAGGACTCCATCGCTACAACAACCTCTCTCTAAACACCTCCAATAAAGGACAGGCCACCCTTACTATTTCAAATTTACAGCGAAAATACCGTGTGTTTACACTGTATTCTCTCCCCCCCACCAAAAAAGTTTATCCAGGTCAGTTTATGAGCGAAACCGCAAACCTTAAAGCTGCTAAACATGAAACAAACCTGAAATCCAACATTCAAGGCATTTAGCAGCCAAAAACTGCCCCCCCGGGGAAAAAGACATTTAAAAACGGAATTAAGGATTTTAAGGGGGGAATGCCACGGCTGAATGTTTTTCCGAGCGCTGGAAAAAGGCCGATATGCTTTTCACACCGAACCGTGTCCTGAATAGGGTTTGTTGAGGTTGGATGAACCCAGCTCATTGTGGCAAAATATTGGGCGGGGGGGAACAGTCCAGGAGAAACAAGTTGAAAAAGGTCGTTTCCTAAACAGGCAGCCTGACGGGAGACTACAACTTCCATCCTCCCCAGCCAGCACCGTCAACTCAGTCTACCCTTCCCAGGTTGTCCCAAACGGAAGAAACAAAAGCCGCTTTGAGAAAGCAAAACTTTTCGGGGGCTCAGATGCCCGACATTACCGCACCGTTTGCAAAAGTAATCTGATTTTCATGCCTATTTACCATGCGGCAGATCAGGCTTGGCACTTCAGCATTTTCATCCCCCGGAGGCTGAAAACCGGACGGGCGCAAAGCTGCGGGCGGAAGCCGAAGTCCGAAGGGTTCCCATTCATTTCACAGCTGATGTCAAGAATGCAGGACCAAAAAAAGCCCTTTCAAAGGTTAAAAAAAAAAAATCAGGGGGATTCACCCAAACAGCCAAGGCAGGGTAGAGGAACTCAGAGCAAGGGTGCTGGCACCATCCCGTGCCAGGTTTGCAGGGTGCGTCTGCGCGGGCAATCCAACAGTGTTGACCAGAGATTAATCGGATCGGCCAGGCCCTTTCAGAGTCGCTTTGGGGCGAGGCAGAACTGCAGCTGTTCTGCTAACACAAGGCGGTGTGGGGTGCAAAGGTCACCCCAAAGTCAATTTACGGACGATTTTCGGCAGACGACAGCTGGGCCACCAGGGCTACGCCCCCGATCCTCCTTCCCAAACCCCGGGAGACTGAAAGCACGACTGAGCAGAGTGGCAAGCAAAGGAAAACGCACATTTGCACGACGTGGTCCCGCTCTTAGGGTTTCTCAAATGTGGCCACTTTAAGGTGGGTGGACTTCAACTCCCAGAATTCCCCAGGGAATAACCCCAGGGAATTCTGGGAGTTGAAGTCCGCCCACCTGAAAGTGGCCACGTTTGAGGAACATGATGCTAAATGAAGGCTATTTGGGATTGCAGCACCGTTCTTTGAATTTTTTTGCCCACTCCCTGTGCAAAAATAATCGAGATAATACAGAAGAATGGCTTTCTGCTGTGTGTGACACACAAATGTAAGCGATGGCCGGTGCTGGAGACGGACCGGAGGGGAAAGGAAAAGAGTGTGATTCTTGGCAACTGCACATCCATTGAGCTTCCTTGCCAGCAATCCAAAAATGCTGGGCTATCAGGATCATTTTCAACTTCCCAATCTATCCTACAACTGAGGTGTTTCCTGGTGGTCTCCCATCCAAGTTCCCAGCCAGACTGGGTGGAACCAGGATCCATCCCAGCATCACCCGTGGAAACTCCTGGCCCAACCTGAGAACAAACCACACCCAAGTTAGAAAAACACCGCCATGTGGACCTGGGACCCATCGCTGAAGGCGGCTGCATTTTGCGTGCAGAGAATGCCCAAATCTAGCTTCCCATGTCTCAAAAGGTTTCCCTCCCTGCTTCCGTTTTTCTGCCTCATTCTCAGGCGGCTTGAGAATTCCTTAGCAATTTCTCTTGGGCCTTGCCAAACGGTGCAAAGGGGAGGGGCGGCTTGCAATGGGATTGCTTCCTCCCTTTTGCAGCCTCCCGCGTCCCCCACCAGGAATTCCTCCCAAGACTTCCACTAGGACGGAATTGGGGGGCGGTGGCGCCCCAAACAGCTGGGAACCGCCCCCTGCCCGGTTCCTTTCGGAGGAAGGGCTGCAAACCCAGACCGGCCAGCCCGAATC